CGAGCGCGTGTTGAATGCCGCGCACGCATTGCCAGACGAGTCGAGAATGGCCTGGTACACCGCAGGAAGCCAGAGGTGGCCGGAGGAAGCCCGACGGTCTGACAGGACACCCCAAAGCATTTTTGTGAAAAAGCATTGGGTTTTTGATGTTTTTATGTTGAAATGCTTGCAAACACACGGTGTTCGGTAGGATTCTGACATGAACGCGCGAGTGTGCTCTTTGTGGTATTTTTTGCACAGGATTCGCGGCCTGGGTGCATGACAGAGCATCGCGAGTGCACCGCGCGATGACGTGAAATCGCTGGATTTGACAGAATTCTTAAGATTCCTATGGTTTTCCTATGATTTCAGCAAGAGAGCCCGGGCGGGAAATTTGTACAATTTTTGTGAAAAAGCATTGGGTTTTTGATGTTTTTATGTTGAAATGCTTGCAAACACACGGTGTTCGGTAGGATTCTGACATGAACGCGCGCGTGTGCTCTTTGTGGTATTTTTTGCAATGGATTATCGCCGTGGACGACAGGACGTCCATGTCGAGAGGAAAAAATAAGAAAAATGTTGATTTTGTATTGTTTTTTACAGGTTAGGATGGGACCCCCCGGATGCGGCCCCTAATGGCCGGCCTGAGGGGGGAGTAGGAGTATATTCTAATAAGGAATAAGGATAGGAGTAGGAGTCAAGCTAGCCAGCTCGAGCGAGTCAAGCATGGCATGCCCAGTCCCACCCGCCCTCCCACAACATAAGAAGCAAAGCTGGCACAACTGGGGGCCGAAGTCACACCGGCCAGCCGGTTTGGTACAGCTGATGCGGCCGCGATGGCGGTTGCCGACGGGAACTGGCGAGCGCGTGTTGAATGCCGCGCACGCATTGCCAGACGAGTCGAGAATGGCCCGGTACACCGCAGGAAGCCAGAGGTGGCCGGAGGAAGCCCGACGGTCTGACAGGACACCCCAAAGCATTTTTGTGAAAAAGCATTGGGTTTTTGATGTTTTTATGTTGAAATGCTTGCAAACACACGGTGTTCGGTAGGATTCTGACATGAACGCGCGAGTGTGCTCTTTGTGGTATTTTTTGCACAGGATTCGCGGCCTGGGTGCATGACAGAGCATCGCGAGTGCACCGCGCGATGACGTGAAATCGCTGGATTTGACAGAATTCTTAAGATTCCTATGGTTTTCCTATGATTTCAGCAAGAGAGCCCGGGCAGGAAATTTGTAGAATTTTTGTGAAAAAGCATTGGGTTTTTGATGTTTTTATGTTGAAATGCTTGCAAACACACGGTGTTCGGTAGGATTCTGACATGAACGCGCGCGTGTGCTCTTTGTGGTATTTTTTGCAATGGATTATCGCCGTGGACGACAGGACGTCCATGTCGAGAGGAAAAAATAAGAAAAATGTTGATTTTGTATTGTTTTTTACAGGTTAGGATGGGACCACCCGGATGCGGCCCCTATCTGCCGGCCTGAGGGGGGAGTAGGAGTATATTCTAATAAGGAATAAGGATAGGAGTAGGAGGAGTAGGAGTAGTAGGAGTAGGTGTAGTAGGAGTATGGAGTAGGAGTAGGAGTAGTAGAGTAGGAGTAGGAGTAGGAGTAGTAAGTAGAGTAGTAGTAGTGTAGTGTAGTAGTGGTAGTAGTAGTAGTAGTAGTAGTTAGTAGTAGTAGTCGTAGTAGTAGTAGTAGAGTAGTAGTCCGTACTCGTTAGTAGTGTATAAGTAGTAGTATGTAAGTAGTAGTAGTAGTAGTAGTAAGTAGTAGTAGTAGTATGTATGTATGTAGGTATTAGGTAGGCAGGTAGGTAGGTAGGTAGGTAAGTAGGTAGGTAGGTCGGTAGGTAGCTAGGTAGGTTGGTAGGTAGGTAGGTAGGTAGGTCGTAGTCGTAGGTCGGTAGGTATAGGTCGGTAGGTCGGCAGGTCGGTATGTCCGTTGGGCCCCCCGGTCGGTAGGTCCGGGTAGGTCGTTAGGTCGGGAGGTAGTTATGTAGATCGGTCGGTAGTCGGTAGGTAAGGAGGTAGGTAGGTAGGTTGTAGGAGTAGTCGTGGTAGTAGTATTAGTAGTAGTAGTAGTAGCAGCAGTAACAGTGGTACTATTAGTAGTAGTAGTAGTAGTAGTAGTAGTAGTAGTAGTAGTAGTAGTAGTAGTAGTAAGTAGTAGTAGTAGTAGTAGCCGTAGTAGTAGTAGTAGTAGTAGTAGTAGTAGTAGTAGTAGTAGTAGTAGTAGTAGTAGTAGTAGTAGTAGTAGTACTAGGAGGAGGAGGAGGAGAAGAGGGAAGAGGCTGAGGAGGAAGAGGAGGAGATGGAGAGGGATGATGATGCTGATGATGATGCTGCTGCTGCTGATGATGATGATGATGATGCTGATGATGATGATGCTGATGATGATGATACTGAAGATGATAATGCTGATGCTGATGATGATGATGATGATTATGATGCTGAAGCTGAAGCTGACGATGATGAAGCTGAAGCTGGAGCTGATGCTGATGCTGCTGCTGTTGATGCTGATGATGATGAATTTGATGAATCTGATGATGATGCTGATGATGATGCTGATGCTGATGATGATGATGCTGATGGTGATGATGATGATGATGATGCTGATGATGATGATGATGATGATGATGATGATGGTGGTGATGATGATGATGATGATGATGATGATGGTGAGGAGGATGAGGAGAGGAGGAGGAGGAGGAGGAGGGGGAGGCGGAGAAGGATAATGATGAGGACGATCATGATGGTGGTGATGATGATGATAATGATGATGGTGATGATGATGATGATGGGGAGGAGGAGGAGGAGGAGAAGGAGGAGGAGGAGGTGTAGGGGGAGGAGGTGGAGGAGGATGAGGAGGAGGAAGAGGAAGATGATGAGTTGGAGGGGAAGAAGTAGGAGGAGGAGGACGTGAAGGATGGGGAGGAGGTCATGTCAGGTCAGGTCCAGTCAGGAAGTCGGCGAAGGTTTCTCGGTGAGAAAAGACAGGCAGAGGGGGTGAAGCCTATATAGACCCAGCCTGGGGATGAGGAGGAGGAGGAGGTGGAGGGGGAGGGATGGGGAAGAAGGATGATCATCGAGGAAACGGACGGTGAATGACTAGAGGGATTGAGGAGGTAGTGCGAGTCGGGGGGGGGGAAGGGTTATGGTTGTGATTCAGTTGATGGTGATGATGACGATTATGCTGATGCTGATTGTGATAATGATGCTGATGATGATGATGCTGATGATGATGATGATGATGATGATGATGATGATGATGACGATGATGATGATGCTGATGATGATAATGAAGATGATGATGCTGATGATGATGATGATGATGATGCTGATGCTGATGCTGATGCTGATGCTGATGCTCATGCTTATACTGCAGATAAGGATGCTGCTGATGCCGATGCAGTGATAACGATGCTGATGATGACGACGATGACGATAATGGTGATGATGTTGATGATGATGATGCTTGTACTGATGATGCTGATGATAGTGATGATGGTGATGAAGCTGCCGATGAGGATACCGCTGGTGCTGCTGCTGAGGATGCTGGTACTGATTCTGATGATGACGTTGGCAATGTCGATGATGCTGATTATGCTGCTGATGAAGATGACCATGATGATGCTGATGAGGATGCTGTTGATGATGATGGTGATGACGATTACGACGATGACGATGATGCTGCTGCTGATGCTGCTGCTGATGCTGCTGATGCTGATGCTGACTATGATGATGGCGTTGATGATGATGTTGCTGCTGCTGATGCTGATGATAAGGATTATGCTGATGCTTATGACGCTGATGCTGCTGATGAGGATGCTGCTGATGCTGCTGCTGAGGATGCTGATGATGATGATGATGATAATGATGACGACGTTGGCAATGACGATGATGATGATGCTGATGACGATGATGCTGATGATGCTGTTGATGATGATGATGATGATGATGATGATGATGCTGATGATGATGATGATGATGATGATGCTGATGATGATGATGTTGATGATGACGATGCTGCTGACGACGATGATGCTGATGATGATGATGACGATTATGACGATGACGATGATTCTGCTGCTGCTGATGGTGCTGCTGATGCTGCTGCTGCTGCTGATGATGCTGATTCTGATGATGACGTTGTTGATGATGTTGCTGGTGCTGACGAGGGTGATGCTGCTGATGCTCATGGTGATGATGGTGATGCTGCTGATGATGATTATGCTGACGGTGGTGGTGATGATGGTGGTGGTGGTGATGCTGATGCTGATAATGATGATTGACATGGTGATGATGATGTTGATGATGACGATTATGACGATCACGATGACGATGACGATGATGCTGCTGCTGATGATGAATATGATGCTGCTGCTGATGATGATGATTAGGCTGCTGCTTCTGCTGATGATGGTGGTGGTGATGATGATGTTGATCATGAGAGGAGAAGCTGGAGGAGGATGAGGTGAACGGGGATGATGATAATGATGGTGGTGAGGATGGTGGTGATGATGATGATCATGAGGAGGAGGGGGAGGAGGAGGAGGAGGAGGAGGAGGAGGAGGAAGATGAAGGAGGAGGAGGAGGATGAAGCGGCGGAGGAGGAGGATGACACTGATGGACGGGGAGCGGAGAATGCGAGAGTAGTGAGGATGATGCGGAGGGGGGGTTGCAGGAGGAGGAAGAGGAGGAGGAGGAAGACCAGCGTCAACTCTAGACGCATCGACGACGTTGCAGTAATCGTCTCTCCAAGTTTCCTCCTTATCTGTTTATGCAAGAAACTCTTTTCGTTGCGGGAAGTGCCCGATTGAAGGACGACCACCTGAGAATCCTCCATCGCCGCGAATCTACTTGACTGCTGCGTCTTCACAGTCGTGAACCGTGTCAGTGCACCAATCCTGGGTTTTCAACACCGCGAATCAACGTGACTGTTTCGCTCGCATTTGAAAGCCAGTAGCCCTCCCTTCTTGAAGCTGTTGCAAACTTTCAAAGTCAAATGTGCACAGCGTTAGAGCGAGAACCACATGTTGACAACGACCCATCCCCCATCCCTGAAAATGTTGCAACCTTCAAGCTTCAAGATCATATTTTGTCGGGAAGTCTCAGGCGAAATGCCCAGCCCGCCTATTGACACGTCAGCGGCTGCGACAGGGATGAGTTCTGTATAAGGAAAAGGGATGGGGGAGGAGGGGAGGAGAAGGAGGAGGAGGAGGAAGAGGAGGAGGAGGAGGAGGAGAAGGAGGAGGAGGAGGAGGAGGAGGAGGAGGGTGGCGTTCTGGCAGTGGAGGAGCGGGGTCATAGCGAGGAGGACTCGGAACGAAATGGCACCAGAGCAGCTCAGCCGTGGTGATCGTGTTTGCAGCGTTGGCGGTGGCAGTGGCCCGTCCTCTTGTTCCTTCCCCCTGCCCCCTTCCCCTGCGCCCTCCGCCCTCGTCACGCCTCCTCCTCCTCCTCCTCCTCCTCCTCCTCCTCCTCCTCCTCCATCCCTTTTGACCTCCCTGTCGCAGCTTCAGACGTGTCCGTAGGGCGGGCTGGGCGTTTTGCCTGAGACTTCCTCATCATGATGATTCGGAAGCTTGAAATTCGCAGCAGTTTCAAGAATGGAGGTCATGTGGCTTTCAACATGTGGCTTTCGCCTTCGCGCTGCGCGCATTCGTTGTAATAGCTTGCAGCAGTTTCAGGACGGAGGGTGGGTGATTTTCAAAATGTAGCTCTCGGACTAGCGCCGCGTACATTCGTCTTCAAAGTTTGCAGCAGTTTCGAATCTGGTGGGCGGTTTGCTTTCAACATGTGGCTCTCGCCCCAGCGCTGCGCGCATTCGATTTTAAAGGTGTGCAGTTCTGCCGCGATTTAGGACTGCCAGGTGGTTCGCGGTGTTGAAGTTCCAGGGTTGGTGTTCTGGCACAATTGAGGAATGTCAGGACGCAGCAGTCACGGTCATTCGCTACGTGTTTCGTTATGATTGAAGGTTCTCAGACGGTTGTCTTTCAATGGGGCACTTCCGCAAGGATGATACATTCCTTCGGGGACCTCTGAAGATGGAACTCGGAGGGAGGGTTCACTGCGACATCGTTGATGCGTCTTGGGTTTACTCTCGCCTTTTCCTCCTCCGTCCGCTCTCCTTTCTCCTTTTTGGTTCCCCGTTCCTCGCTCCCCGCCCCTGTAGCTCGGCCTGGTCGAGCCCGACAAGGACGAGGACGACGGCGTGGGGGTCACCGACGGCGACGACGGCAGCGACGACGATGACGACGACGTCGACAAGGACGACGACTGCGACGACAACGACCACGAGCACGACGACGACGGCCGCGTCCGCGGAGGCGGACAGAACAGCAGCGGGCGGACGACGACAACGACGACCACGACGACGACGACGACGACGGCGAGGAGGACGAAGACGGCGACGGCGATGAAGATGACGACGACGACCACCACCCCGACGACGACGTCGACGACCACGACGTCCGCGCCTGCCAGAAGGCGGACATCACCGCCGCGGGCAAAAGGTTCTCCAGCGGCAGCCTGGCGGGCGCGGCCACCGCGGCGAAGGCGGCGGGCCTGCGCGGTGCAGGAATGGAGGAGAGGGAGGGAGGGAGGGATGGAAGGAGGGAGGGAGGGAGGATGAGAAGAATGGAGAGGTGGATGATGATGATGAGGAGGAGGAGGAGGAGTTCTTTCATCACCGCTACTACATCCGACTCACGGCGACAGCTAAAACAGTTCGAGCTTCACCAATGGGAGCTTGGGATGCTTCCCTCTCTGGGAAGTCCCCGCCAAGTGCAGGTCGCAAAACTGGAGGCTGGAACCCAGAGGAATTCGATTTACAGATTCCTGACTTGGTCTCCAGTGGTGTAACCCTTGAACTTCGAGCGCGCATACAAAAGAGTATTGTCTGAGCAGGAAGAGACCACCAACCCATGCTGCATGCGCCCAATCTCGAGGGCGGCATCTGGCTACAGTCCTGAACATCCAGTTTCTGGAGGCGTGTGATCCTGGCGCCTGGACTTGAGACAGCGGTGGCACCTCCAGAAGGTGCGACACCACGACCATTCGTGCGAAGTTGGAGGCTTTGATGCAATAACTCTGCCCGTGCCTGGGACCCTGGGGAGGAGGAGGAGGAGGAGGAGGAGGAGGAGGAGGAGGAGGAGGAGGAGGAGGAGGAGGAGGAGAGGAGTAGGAGGAGGCGGAGGCGAGGAGGAGGAGGAGGAGGAGGAGGAGGAGGAGGAGGAGGAGCAGGAGGGAGGAGGAGGAGGAGGGAGGGGAGGAGGGAGGAGGGAGGAAGGAGGGATCTCGGCATTTTCTCCGCAGCCGAGGGTAAAAGGATGAGAGAAGGGCCCACCGTCGGCCGCTTCGCCTGCCGCGTCGTTTCCTGTCTTGTGAAATATCTTTGATCCTCGATCAGCTCCACTGCCTCAGAAACATGTGCTTTGATCTCGTGGTCGTTTTTTCACTCATTATTTTGCCGATCGGCGCGGGCCCCCCACCCCCCCCTCCCCCCTCTCTGGAGTAGATCTTGGCTGTTTTTTGGCGCCTGTTTCGAGCAGGTGGAGCCCCCCCTCCCCCATGGGACGCACTGTTGCAAACAGCCGCGCTAAGCAGAGGTAGGGAGCCAGACCCCCCCCTCGCCCTCCCCTTTTCGCTCAATGTCGAAGCGTCGAATAAAAAACGCTCATCTTGACAGTTTCCCTGTACCTGTGTGTGTGGCAACTTCAACAGCAGGGCCTGCAGGAGTGACCTGCAGAGGCAACGGGCCCCTGAAAGCCCTGACCGCATCAGCGCAGTCTGAGTACAGTGAGCGGCTTCAGTAAGGAACACTTACTTTTCAAAAGTGGCTCGGTCGTTCCTTAGATTTGCGTGCGTCATTTGTCGTTCCTTATGCGTTGTATACATCCGTAAGGGCTTCGCCCCATGCCGCCGGCCCCCTGTCTCGGATAATGGGAGATGCAAAAGCTAAATCATGAGGTCTGGGCGCCTCCCTGAAGCAGTGTCGAGACCTGTTTGTTTTTCGACCCTGACCCTACGGATCTGCGTCACGGGTGCCACCGAATGTCAGAAATGTGGCACATCCCCTGTGTTGTTGGACCCTGACCCCGCCGATCTGCGTGAGGGGTGCGACCGAATTTTAGAAATGTGGCAAATCCTCTGTGTTTTTGGACCCTGACCCCGCCGATCTGCGTGAGGGGTGCCACCGAATTTTTCAAATGTGGCAATCCTTTGTGTCTTTGGACCCTGACCCCGCCGACCTGCGCGAGTGGTGCCACCGAATGTCAGAAATGTGGCAAATCCTCTGTGTTTTTGGACCCTGTCGACACCTGTCTCGACGGTGTCTGGCGATCCGGACTCTGCTCCGTTGAGCGCCCGCATGGCGTTGATCGACACCCACCGAGGCGCGCGACACGGCTGTCACTTGCATCCGCGGTGCCATGACTTGGTGCTGGATTCGCTTTGTGTCCTGCTGGTGATCCTCCTCGACGTGTTCGTGGTGTCGTACAACTGGAATTCCGTCATTTTGGTGTTGCATTTCGCCTGGAATATTGTCCTGGTCGACAGCGCACTCCCCTGAGCGGCAGCGAGGCTCGCCTCCTGTTTGTTCCACTCCCGCTTTCGTTTCTCTTTTCGCTCTTCTTCCTCCCGGTGCGCGTTATTTAGGCCGTTGCTTCTGTGCTACGCTCCTGGACGCCGCCCGACTCCTTTCGACGCGGTCGCGATCAAAAAAGTATCCCCACCAGCCTGCCCTTCGCGCCATTTTGGCCGCGATGAGCTCCGTCCCTCTCTGTGCCTGGCGTTGCTCGCATATCTGTTTTTCCGTTAGCTGGTGGCACAGGCTGCCCCTGCTTGCCCGGCTTTCGACTCGTTTCGCGCGCCCGCGTGCCAAACATCCCCACCAGCCCATCCAGAAACATATCGCCAGGCGAGTTGCTTTGACCAGGGAAGTGTAGAAGCATGCAGTGTAACAGCCATGTTGGAAGTGTTTTCTCGGAGGTCTTGAAGCCATCTTGGGTCTCACTTGGGGTCCTCGCGGAACCACTCGGGGCACTTTCTTTTGGGGGGTCTAGGGGCCCTCTTGGGGCTCCTTGCGGGGGTCTGGGAGGTCTCTTGTGGCCATCTTGGCCCCCGCGGCTCGAACAGAGAGGGGGTGACGGATCCAGGTCCCGCTCTCGGAGGCTCAAGCATGTCGTCTTGAGGCCTTCGGGACCCGTTCTTGGGCGCTCTTGGGGCCGTCTGGGGCTCCCTTGGGCCATCTTGGGGCCATTTTGGGGCCCCCGAGGCCCATCGGAAGCGATAGGGCGAGACTGCACACATCATCAATATTCCTAAGGTTTTTGAGCCATTTTGGCCTTTTTTGGGCTTCTCTTGGCGACTCGAGGGGCACTTGAACCCGTCTTGGGACCGTCTTGGAGCCTCTTGGAGTCTTGTCGGAAGCTATCTTGAGCCACCTTGGAGGCCATCTTGGGCTCTCTGAGGCCCTCTTGGGGCCATCTTGGGCCATCTTGGACGCTCTAACCCCTCGTGGAGGGCCCCGGCCAGACCCAGGGGAGGGGATAGGGGAGGGGTAAACCCCTCCCCTGAGCAGGGGAAGGAGGGGTTTTGGGCAGAGAGAAGACACAACTCATTAAACCACCTACGCCCAGAGGGCTGGCGAGAGTACTAAATCCCCCCTGGATGGATCTTTGACGGCCGCCGGGAGGCGGAGTTGCGGCCACTTGCGCAGCACAGCGTTTGGGCGTGCGGCCCACCCGCAGGTGAGTGCAAGTATATTCTGGGAGTCGCCAACCCATCCTCGGAAGGATCGCGTGGCACCGATCTTCGTGCCACTTTCGCTGTTCCATTCGTCACCTTCCCAATTCTCCTCCCAGAGGGGGCCTAATTCAGTTTATCTCTGTCCCGGCCGCGTGGCCGATAGAAAACCTACGTAATTACCCACAAGCACTTGATAACCTATCCGCAAGCCCTTACTTTTTGGAAACTTTTTGGAAACGCAATACTGCTGTGTGAAGTTCTCAAGAGTAACCCGCACTTTCTGCTGCACCAACCTTGCCGCTTCTGGGGAATTCGGACGCGTGCTTCACGGCCATACTCGATCAACAAATCCTCTGGTGTACCCTTTGTGTACCAGAGTGCAGTCATCAATCGCACGTCACAAAGACAAGGGTGAACGTACTCCCTCGTTTGCGAGGTCCTAAACGCCTGGGCGTGGCTTGTCCTCAAGGATGACAGTCAATGCTGTAGATCTGCCTTGTTGGTCATTTTGTGATCGACTTGGACCTCTTGGGACCCGCTGGAGGTCTTCCTGCTGCTCTGGCAGGTTCCTACATGAAGATTTACGCTGTTGATTTCGCCTGAGGCCTTCCTGCGACTCTGGCAGGTTCTTCGCCCAGAGTGACCTTGTTCCGTGCGGTCTGGATTACGGCTGCAGGCCAATCGCACCATCCAGCCACTGTGACCTTCAGGGTGGTGACTCCAGGAAACTGGGCCCACAAACGGGGTCAAGGCCTCCCAAAGCCATACTACCCCAAGTCCTCCTCATCCTCTTCCGCCTCGTTGTCCTCCTCCTCTTCTTCCTTGTCCTCCTCTCTTCCTGCTCCGCAGCACCGCCGGGTGCCAGGCGCAGTCGACCATCGCCCTGCCAAGCCTGCCGCCCTCGCGCGGCGGCTCCGGCGGCAACGGGATCAGGGCCCTGCCCCCGGCCGCCCGCCCCGTGGCGTTCGCCCTGCCGCCGAGCCAGAGGAGGAGGAGGAGGAGGAGGAGGAGGAGGAGGAGGAGGAGGAGGAGGAGGAGGAGGAGGAGGCGGAGGGGGAGGAGAGGGGAGAGGAGAGGGGAGAGGAGAGGCGGAGAGGAGAGGAGGAGGAGGAGGAGGAGGAGGAGGAGGAGGAGGAGGAGGAGGAGGAGGAGGAGGAGGGTGAGGAGAAGGGTGGGAGGCGAGGTTAGCGGCGCGCGCAACGGGATGGCGCGAGGGCAGCGGCCTGCAAAGGCCGGGGGCTAGGACGGCAGGTGCCTTGCCAGGGGCCTTCGCGGCTTCTGACAAGCCTCCTCTAGGAGCGTCCAGGCGCGTCCTGCCTCCTTAGAGGCCCCCCCGACTGCTTCGAAGGCCGCCCCCCTCGCGCCACCCTGTTGGACGCGCCGCCAACGGGAGGGGGGGAGGAGGCCCAGGTCTCTTCGTCGGGACAGGACCACATCGGGAGGTCTCGGGCCCTCTTTTCTGCCCCTTGGGGCCCTTGACGGGCCCTGGTTCAGGCCGTCCAGGAACGACTGGGGACAAGAAGCCGGTCCGGGGGGAACGGGTCGAGACCCAAGGAGGTGCACTCAGTGAGAAAGAGCACGAAGACTGGGCGGTTGGGAGGAGGAAGAATGGGATTTTTGGGGAGAAGGAGGGAGGATAATAGTGTTCTCAGGGTTTTGTCAAAGGCTGTCGGATGCGTGTGCGTCTTGAGGTTATCGGAGATTTCGGCAGAAGGAGGATAGCAAGAAGGAAACGGATTTGGAAGGATGGGAGTGGGAATGTGAGGAGGAGAGGGGGGGAGGGCGAGAAGGAAGGCGATGGGGAATGGGGGATGTGGGACGGGATCGGGGTAACGGTGGCGCGGGGAGAAGGGGAATGGGAGGGGTAGGGAGGATAGAGGAGGAGGGGGGGAGGTGGAGAGTAGGTGAAAGAAACGGAATGAGGGGGAGCAGGGGGCTCGGGCGAGATAGGGGGAGGAGGGAGGAAATGTTTAAGGGGAGGAGGAGGAGGAGAAGGAGGAGGAGGATGAGGAGGAGGAGGAGAAGGAAGAGGAAGAGGAGGAGGAGGAGGAGGCTGGGGACGAGGATGAGGATGAGGATGAGGATTTTGATGACGGTGATGCTGATGATGATGATGATGACGATGATGATAAGGATGCTTGACGGATGGATGGATATACGTGGTTGCATTTATGGATGGTTTGATGGATTCTTTGATGGGCGGCGATGTATGGTGGTGGCGAACATGAATATGACATTGGCGTTGAGTATGACAATGAGTATGATGATGTTGATGACGATGATGATGGTGATGCCGACAACGATGATGATGATGCTGTTGATGACGACGGTGATTACGAGGTTGATGATGATGACGATGATGATGAAGATGGTTATGGGGATGATGATGACGACGCTGATGATGCTGATGATGCTGATGGCGATTACGATTACGATGACGATGACGATGACGATGCCGATGATGATTACGATGATGATGATGCTGATGATACTGATGACGCTGATGATGCTGATGATGCTGATGACGATGATGATGCTGCTGCTGATGATGATGCTGCTGAGGATCATGATGATGCTGATGATGATGACGATGATGTTAATGATGCTGATGATGATGCTGATGATGATGCTGATGATTCTGATCATGACGATGCTGCTGACGATGATGTTGATGTTGATGTTGATGATGACGATGCTGCTGTTGTTGTTGCTGCTGCTGCTGCTGATGATGATGTTGATGATGATGATGATGATGATGATGATGATG